ACTTGAACTTTTATTTCCTTTTACTTATGAGTTGCTGTTGTTTCTTTTTTAAGATAGGTTCTAGACCTGTAGCCCAGAATGGCCTGTAATGTGCAGCCATCCTTCCTTGGCCTCCCAACAGGTGGGGTTATAAGTGTATGCCCCCTTGATCAGCCCATCTTAGAATACACATAGAGTTTAAATAGCCAGGAGGTGGTGGCGCACACCTTTCATCCCAGCAGGCAGAGGCAGGTGGATCCCTGTGTGTTCGAGGCCAGCCCGAGGCCAGCCTGGACTACAGAGCGAGTTCCAGGACAGCAGGGCTACACTGTGAAACTCTGTCTTGAAAGAAAAGAAAAAAAAAGAGTTTAAATAGCTTTTAAAAATGTATTTACAGTATGTGGAAACCCAGATGTTTGAAGAAAATCTGTAGACAGCACTGTCAAAGTTACTTTGCTATCTAACAGATGCAGAAGTGTGTGTATTTATCAATAATGTGCAGGGGGATAGGGTGGGGAAAGTTGATTGCTAGCACTCCAGTTTCCCTTGGATGCCCTGACACGCCTGTGTCTTGTATCTAAAGCTGTCTCCCGTAGGCACAGCTGCTGTGTCTCTGGTCTGAGGTGTGCTGTGTCTTTTTACTTTGCAGTCCATTGCTGATGGCTTTAAGGAGGCTGTTCGTTACGTCCTTCCACGGCTTATGCTGGTGCCTGTGTATCACTGTTGGCATTACTTTGAGTTACTAAAGGTAAGGCAAGAGCTTCCTGTAACAAAGTCTTAGATTTATAAAGCCTAAGACCTAATTTTAGACCTGAGTATATTATTCTTAATATCTTTTACTCATACAAGCATAGTGTCCTCGGGCTAGGGATAGAGCTCAGTGGTGGAAGGCTTACCCATCATGTAAAGCCCTGTGCTGATCCCTAGCTGTCAACAAGCACAAGGACCCAGAAGGATACATACAAACATTTCCAACTTCTGTCCAAGGAGCTTGGAGAAAACCTTACGGATTTTACCCCTTGTCACAGCATTTTTATATATAGACAGATATAAAGAAGTTTATTTTTGTGTCAGTTTGTAATATAGACTCTCAAATTATCAACCTTAATGGAAGAGTGTTTGTTTTTAAAATTAAATTTTGGAGATCCACAGTAGCAATCTTTGAAAAAGTGAGTTTTAATTTTAGAATTATTACAGAATATCTTTAATTATGTATGTGACCATTTCATATGTGTGAACAACGCGTCTTGATGAAATTCTCCCCCCGTCCCCTCCCACTCCCCTCAGGCATTCCCAGCTCTCCCTCTCCCCTCTGTTGTCCTCTCTTCTGTTTTGAACCCACAGAGTGCAGTTATTTCTGCCTGTTGGAATGCTGACCTATCTTATATAAGCAATTAATGATTTTTGTCTGTAACATTGTTTAAAGTTTTCATCTAGTTTTATCATATTAAGACAATCATTTTTTATTTTTATTTTATATGTAAAGTTCTTCTTGCATGTCTGTATGTGCACCACATGTGTGCCTAGTGCCAGGGAGGCCAGAAGAGGGCGTCAGATCTCTGGAACTGGAGTTAGTGATGGTCATAAGCAGCATGTGGGAACTGGCTAGGAACCGAACCTAGGTCTTCTATATAACAGAAGTGCTCTTAACGTCTGAGCCATCTCTCTAGCCTGGAGAGAATCATTTTGAAGTCTTCATAAAGTATACTATTCTTCAAATCTTAGTGTATATCAAGTACACACAGTTGTGTATCTGTGTGCATCGGAGAGAGGGAGGGAGATAAATGAAAGCATGAGTGAATGGATTTCTTTTTTTTAGACAGAATCTCATGTAGCCCAGGCTGGCTTTGAACTCACTGTGTAGCTGAGGATATCCTTGAAGTCCTGATCTTCTTGCCTTAACTGTCAAAGTGCATCTGTTCCAGTGATATACCAAGACTTTTGAACATTATAGAAATATTATCTGATTTTTATTTTTCAAATTTAGGTGTATGATAAAGCAAAGATGGAAAACAGTAACATAGTGATGAGTTATAGCAGCCACCCATGGTTCCCTCTCCTAACACATGGAGACTGATCACAGCCACTTGTTTTGCAGAGATAAGTTGCAGGGTTTTTAAATTTAAATTTTGGTTTTTGCATATGGGTTCTTTTGCCTACATCTATGTCTGTGTACCATGTGTTTGCATCATGCCCACAAGCACCAGAAGAGGCTGTTGGATCTCCTGGAACTAGAATTAAAGACAGTTTTGAGCTGCCATGTGGGTGCTGGGAATTGAACCTGAGTCCTTTGGAAGAGCAGCCTGTGCTCTCCATGGCTGAGCCATCTCTCCAGCCCCAATTTTAGATACTTTTAATAATTTTTTAAAAGACTGCATTTTAGCCAGGCAGTGGTGGCACATGCCTTTAATCCCAGCATCCAGGAGGCAGAGCCAAGCGGATCTCTATGAGTTCGAGGCCGGCCTGGTCTGCAGAGTGAGATCCAGGATAGGAACCAAAACTACACAGAGAAACCCTGTCTCAAAAACAAAACAAAACAAACAAACAAAAGACTGCATTTTAGATTTTTTTCATAATATATACTCAGTCTTTATGGAAAAGTTCACTTCTCAATTTATAAATAACTTTATAATTACTATAGTCAAATAAAAAATTGATATACGTCCTTTTTAAAATTTTGGGTTTTCAAGACAGGGTTTCTCTGTAGTCCTGGCTGTCCTAGAATTCACTCTGTAACCAATCTGTCCTTAGACTCAGACATCTACCTGCCTCTGCCTCCCAAGTGTTGGGATTAAAGGCATTGACCACCACCAACATATATATCCTTTATTATAAAGGATATTGTCTTAGTTATGTTTCTGTGCGGTGATAAGACACTGACCAAAAGCAACTTGAGGAGGAAGGGGGTTACTTTATTCTCCATTTCCAAGTAGCAGTCCATCGCTGAGGGAATTGGGGCAGGCACTTAAGGCAGGAACTCAAGCAGAGGCCATGGAGGAACACTGCTTACTGACTTAACTCCCCGTGGCCTGCTCAGCCTGCTTTCTTATACCATCCAGGACCACCTGCTCAGAGATGGCAACCCACAATGAGCTGGGCCCTCCCCCATCAATCATTAATCAAGAAAATGTCCCATAGACTTGCCCACAGGCCCAATCTGAAGGAGCCTTTTCTCAGTTTAAGTTCCCTTTCCCCAGATAACTCATTTCAGATACAATTTTTTGCTTGTTTGTTTTTCAAGACAGGGTTTCTTTATGTAGCCTTGGCTGTCCTAGAATTATCTCTGTAGACCAGGCTGGCCTTGAACTCACAGAGATCCGCCTGCTTCTGCCTCCTGAGTGCTGTAATTAAAGGTGAGTGCCACAACTGTGCAGCTCCTTTTAGATATGATTTATTAAAAATCAAATAACGTTTTTTTAGTCCTTTGACATTTCCTTGAAATTTATCAGTGGAATAAAAATACTCTTCATGAGGTCTATGAAGTTTAGTATTAAGATATAGTATTAATTATGTAATGAGATTCATTAGGAAAGATTAGCCGATATTAGGTTTCTTTAGGAAATGCTTTTTCTTTAACTCCTGGATTCGTCACTCACCCTGTGTACTGCATTTGCTGAGCTGCAGCCCCTCAGGCGGCTGTGCTCGCTTGTGAGCTGAGGAGTGGGCGGCTGGAGATCAGAGGGGCCTTGCTAGGCAAGCGCCAGTCCTGAACTGTCTCCCAGCCTCCCGCTGTGCTCTCACGTGGAAGGAGTTTTGTTTGCTGGGTTGTTCTCTAACTTAGCACCCGGTTTAGGCACAGACCCATGTTTTGCACAGTTCAGTCTGCTGTCACAGTAGAGACAGCACGGTGGCATGGCAGAGCGCTCATGCGGCCAGAGCTCCTGGCTTGACTGTCCTCTGCTGCTCGTTAGACAAATGACCCAGCCTTCCTGTATGTGCCTCGCCTGGCCCGTACACGTATGTTGTGATGCTGTGTGTCTCGCTGAGTTGTAATAAAGATTAAATAAGCAAATAAAAGCTTATGCACAAAGAACTAAAAAGTAGTCAGTTATTTGTGTATAAACACAAAAAGATTTGAGTATTGCACACACACAGTCCTGATTCTTTTGACAACTACCTGTTGGGTACTCACCATATTATACTAAAATGGACAAAAGGGTGTATCTCTATTGTTTAAGGACTCTACTGTGATTTAATAAAGAATGTGGATATTGAACAAGTAATCAGAATAAATGCTTAATAAATCCATGCATATGTTGATAAGCATAAAGAAAATGTGATACATATATATTCACACAATGAATTTTTACTCAGCCATGATTTAAAATGAAATCATGACATTTGCAGGAAAATAGAACTGGAAATTATTCTTAAGTGAAATAGCCCAGACTCAGACAAATACATTTTCTCTCACATGTCAGTGCTAGACTTTAATATTTATACATGCAGGGATGAGGCATGGGTGTAAGTCATAAAAGTGGCTCCTGAAGGGGAAGAAGATCTTCCTGCAGGAGAACAGAGGGAGACAGATGGTAAAGAATGCAGAAGTGAGACAGCAGAAGGCGGGCGCTGGACAGGCACAGGGGAGGGAGGCCATGAGAGAAGACAGTCGGGTACGTGGAAATACCGTACCACAACCCATCACTTGGTGCTCTACTTTAAAGTTAATTTTTTTTTTTTTTATTTTTTTTGGTTTTTCGAGACAGGGTTTCTCTGCGTAGCTTTGCGCCTTTTCCTGGAGCTCACTTGGTAGCCCAGGCTGGCCTCGAACTCACAGAGATTCGCCTGCCTCTGCCTCCCGAGTGCTGGGATTAAAGGCGTGTGCCACCACCGCCCAGCAAGTGCTCTACTTTAAAAATGAAGAAGGAACCTTCCAAGCCTGTAGCAGTGTTGTAGGATAAGTGATGTAGAAGGAACTAGCTTTGCCTCGGCAAGTCAGAAAAGAATTCTTAGAGTGTTGACTAGATAGGAACTTTCTATCTCTGTCTCCATTATTTATCTGGAAGAATCATGTAAACAAATGCCAAGGAACTCTGCAGATGAAAAGAAACAATAAACCCAACTTACCACAGCACTTACGAGATCCTGTAACAGAGGAAACGTTACCTAAAAAGACATCTAGACAGTTCATAAAATTGCTTCATTGTAGATGAGTAGAGCCTTTGGTTGTTTGTTCATTGAGACTGAGTCCCATGTAGTCCAGGCTGGTCCTGAACTCACTGTGCAGATGAAAATGACCATGAACTCCCAATCCTTCTACCCCTGCTTCCCGAGTGCTGGATTACAGGTGTGTGCTGCCATGCCCAGTCTGTGCAGGGCTGGGAATTGAACTCGGGCCGGTGTGCATGCTAGGCAAGCACTCTACCAACTGAGCCACATCCCCAGCCTAGGACTTTAGAGCTTTATTATTGTAAAATTTTCTGAAGTTGATCTGAACTACGCTCTGATTCCACAAAAGAATATTCTTATTCTAAGATGTCCTACTGAAATATTAACAGATTAAAGAACACCACTAGAAAGTAATTTTTTCTATTTTCCCAAGATTAAATGATTACTTTAAAAATATACATGCTGTGTAGAAATGAACACTTTACCCCCATCCTATAGTTCTGTGCATTTGAGACTAGAGAAATGTCTTTGTCCTACCCCACACCTTCAAATTGACACTCTAAGGTCATAACAGTAAGTCTTCCCAAAGGGGACCTTCTAGAAAGACAGGATGTTTCCTTAGGTTATATTTCCTACTTTTTGTGGCATAAACTGGTAATCTGTCTATGAGCTGTATTTTGTGTGTGTGTGTGTGTGTGTGTGTGTGTGTGTGTGTGTGTGTGTGTGCATACATATGCATACATACATATTAGGAAGTTAGGCAGCCTACCATCAATCTCACCAGTTATTGAAAGCCATAAGATTAGCTGTAAGTGTAAAGGGATATGTCAATACTACTGGGAAAAAAACAAACCTGTGACAGCTTGCAGTAACTTTTCATTTCATTTATGTGGAGACCCCACTATCGGTATTGACAAGGTAAGTCAGTGAGCTATAGAGCCACAAAGAAATCATGTCATCTAGGATTGAGGAATTACACCATGGTGAAAAGAGAAAACTGAATCCCATGGGTTGTCCTCCACTTTGAGAGTGATTTATTTGTGATATAAGGATAATCCAAAAACAACTTCCAAGCCATTCAGCAATGGTTTCTCCTCTTCTGTGAGGAGTGGAATGGGTAGGTAACTTGCTTCAAAATAAACAATAAAAGAGGGAAGGTATTATTTGAAAAGAAACTTCAACAATAAGAAGCATTTTGTGGTGTATTGGAGGCTAAATTCACCAGTTGGGTGAGGAGGCCAGAGGCCACTATGCAGAAAGCTTATGGAGACGTGAAAGAGTTTGACTCATTTGCAGCCGGTTCACCACAGTGATTTCTGTGTCAGCTTATGAAGTGTAGAATGCATCCTTTCAAACCCCTCTAGAGAAGCAGCTTGGATAGCCGGCAAGCTGACGTTTAAGTCTCGCTGCTAATTACACATGTACCTCAGTAGTCAAAGATTTACCTAGATACTCAAAGCTCTGGGTTCCACCCCCAGTGCCACAAATATTCTCTCCATTTATCATAATGCTGAAAATCAAAGAAATATTTAGCAAATTATTGAACTGAGATTATACCATGCAGCCATTTTTTATATACGTCCACTCCTGGGAACTTCTAACTCTTCTGACTTTTTTTTCTGCTCAACAAACTTGTAATTACTGTATTACTGGGGAAAGCATGGCAGCATCCTCAGTCAGGAAGCAGAGGACAGGACACGAGGACAGGCCACAGAACCTGAGGGTGTGCCCAGTGGGGAGCTCCACCCTTGTGGCTCCACAGCCTTCCCCAAACTCTGTTACCAGCCGGAATTAAATGTCCAACACATGAGCCTATGGGAGACATTGCATGTTCAAATCGCTGCATTAAATACATTTAAGTTTTAAGTATTTGTTGCCGCTTTAATTACAAAGAAGTTGAGAATGGAACCAAGCAATGTAATTTTGTCTTTTTCCCCCTTAGCAGTTGAAAGCGTGCAGTGAAGAACAAGAAGACAGGGAGTGTTTGAATCAGGCTATCACTGCCCTCATGAATCTCCAAGGCAGCATGGACCGAATTTACAAGCAGCACTCACCTAGACGCCGACCAGGGTAATTCGAGACTTCCAAATATGAATATTTATGCTTCCTTCACTGTGTGTGGTCCCCACTTTTCCCAAGTGTGGTTTAGAATGGTGCTGCATTCTTAAAAGTTATGCTTGTCCTTTTTTGGTCTGTCTTAGTCAGAAAGTTACCAAATTACCATTGTTATATTGTAGGATATATTTATTAATTTAAATGTATTTAATGAAATTTTATATTTTCTGGAAGCGATGTGGGATTTTTTTTCTATAATTTTAGTTCTTTTGGCTCTAGGAATGTAGTACTTTGACAGTAGTGAACTTGAGTCATTTGGTATTCAGCGACAGGACTAGAAGAAAATAATTGTTAGGAATATAGTTTAATATTTGGTTATTTAAGCTTTCGAATGCTGGGTATTCAAACTCAGGGCATTTTACATGCTAAGCATGTTCTCAGTCATTGAACTAGACCTTTCAACTCAGCTTAATACTTTTGTTATTTGATTTTGTATTATATAACCACCATAATTGAGTAAGTCAAATTTACCTTGCCTTTTTCCCCCCTCCAGGGATCCCATTTGCCTTTTTTACAATCGTCAATTAAGAAGCAAGCACCTGGCTATCAAGAAAATGAATGAAATTCAGAAAAACATAGATGGGTGGGAAGGCAAAGATATTGGACAGTGTTGTAACGAATTCATAATGGAAGGGCCATTGACCAGAATTGGTGCTAAACATGAAAGGCATATTTTTCTCTTTGATGGCTTGATGATCAGCTGTAAACCTAATCATTGCCAGAGCCGACTTCCGGGTTATAGTAGTGCAGAATACAGACTAAAAGAGAAGTTTGTCATGAGGAAAATTCAAATCTGTGATAAGGAGGATACGTGTGAATGCAAACATGCTTTTGAATTAGTATCCAAAGATGAAAACAGTGTAATCTTTGCTGCTAAGTCAGCTGAAGAGAAAAATAACTGGATGGCAGCCCTTATTTCCCTTCACTATCGAAGCACTCTAGATAGGATGCTGGACTCCGTACTGTTGAAAGAAGAAAATGAGCAGCCCCTGAGGCTACCAAGTCCAGACGTGTACCGCTTTGTGGTGAAAGACTCTGAGGAAAACATTGTGTTTGAAGACAACCTGCAAAGTAGAAGTATAATCCCCATTATTAAAGGAGGGACTGTGGTGAAATTAATTGAAAGGCTAACCTATCATATGTATGCAGGTATGTGAAACTAGCAAGTGTTTTCCTAGGCCTGGGACCCAATGCAGAAGGAGCACATCAGAGTTGATCAAAGGTGCAAATGGAGTGCACCCCAAATAAAAAAAATTATGAAAAATCAAAAGAAATAATCCATTAAATATATATAAAAAATAATCTATTAAATGTTTCTAAAATGTGTCATTAATTTCAGTGACTAATAAATGCTCATAAAATGCTGATTTGTAAAATTAAAATTGAAAATAGTCTTTATTCTCATTTACCAAGAAATGGTTTAGGCCAATCACTTGGGAAGTAGAGTGGAGGAGTTCAGAGTCACCTTGGCTACATGAGACCTTGTCTCTACAGGAAGGAAGGAAGGGAAGGAGAGAAAGGGGAGAGAGAAGGACATTCTACTCTGTCAGGAAAGGAGTTACACTGGGAGGACCCAACGGTGAAAAGGAACGAAAGGAAAGTGTGGGACTTTGAGTCATTGAAACAGATGAATTAAGCATGAAATCTCTGCTTTCTCGATTTTTTCAGATCCCAATTTTGTTCGTACTTTTCTTACTACATATCGTTCATTTTGTAAACCACAGGAATTGCTAAGCTTGCTGATAGAACGGTAAGAAAGACATGTTTCACTCATGTTAACATTTTTGTACTTTGCCAAGATCCTAATAATACTCAGTAGTTCTGCCAGGGAGGGCTCTCTTCAGTGTGCAGTAGGCTTTTACATGGGAAACAGAAAAAAACAAGCTTAAGTGATAAAAACTGTATTTTAGTAAAGTTTATTTTGTTTCTTAAAGATGTTTCTTTACCTTTTACTTTTGCAATAAACTTGTTATGAAAAACTTCAAAATACATACAAGGGTAGAAGGAAGAATATTCTAAGCCTTTATCCCTCATCCAACTTCAGGAATCATTGACCCAGCTTATGTTTCCTACAGATTTAATCATCCTCCCCCAGGATTATTTTGAAGGAGATTTTAGACCAAAGATTTTATCTAAATATTTTTATATGTATCTCTAAAAGATAGCATTTCTTACTTTTAAAAATCATGTATTATTGGGCCTAAAAATTAACAATTCCTATATTGCTAATTTCTGAATGTTAAGATTTGAGTTAAAATTTTTACTGTATTTTAAGTAGCATTTTAAATGCTTTATAGTTTAAAATATAAAGTGTTGACCTTTTTTGTGCTGATCAGTGCTAGCTATAAAACTTTTTAAAAAATAAGAATAAGAATACAGGGAGTAGAAAGGTGGTTGGGGGTTAAAAGCAGTAATTGCTCTTCCTGAGAACCCAAGCTTGGTTCCCAGCACCCGTGTGGCCTATAACTCCAACTCCCAACCTCTCTGGCCTCCATGGGCACCTACAAACACACACTCCCTCATTCATGTACACACACGCAGGCATGTACAAATAATAATAAAAATAAATTCTTAGATCAAGAATACAAAACCTTGGTACCAAATAGCCAGACTGTTTTTTTACGTGCATACTTTCCTAAGGAGAGTGCAACAGTAATGGTGCTTTCTATGTAATGATAAAGGATTGCTTAGCCAAAACCTTTCCCCTGATGTATCCAAAGTCTCTTTCATTTATATATGAACAAATTTCTCTTCTTTTGATTTTATTCTTAGGTTTGAGATTCCAGAACCAGAGCCTACTGAAGCAGACAAGTTGGCGCTAGAGAAAGGCGAGCAGCCAATCAGTGCAGATCTGAAAAGATTTCGCAAGGAATACGTCCAACCTGTGCAACTCAGGTTTGACCCGAACGTCGCAGTTCTAAAATATTCTATTATATAGTTCATATACAAGTTCTTAGCTCCTAATTCAGATCGTTCTCTCATTAACTTTATTTTGGCTAAATTCCCTTACTCCTTTGTAAAGATAATTTTTAAATAGCGAACCCTAATGTAGTTTAGTTATTTGATTATTTGTGTCATCTGTGTGTGTTGTGTGATAGATCATGTTTATTCATGGAGATGCCTATTTGTTCTTTTTACTTTCTGCCTGTACTTGGTGTGCATGCATGTGTGTATGCATGTTCACATGTGTGTGGCACACACACATGCAGGCTCATGTACGTGTGAGTCCCCAGGTTACATCCAATGTGTCTTTCCTGATGGCTATGTGCTTATTTATAGAGATAAGCCAACTTTCCCAGGATTCTTCGGTGTCTCCCCGACAGGAGACCTGCTGGGCTTCTCCATAGCCACATGTAATCTTGCCTGCTCTAGCCTTTCCCCTCCATATCCCGCTGTGCTACCGCAGTCATTGTGAAGGCTCCCACGGCTGTAGCTCTTTTCCTCCTCAGAACAGACAGACATTTGATACTTTGAGGATGCTCGTAGTCATGGAGGTGTGTTTCGTTACAGCAGCTGTAGGTTGCGAGGCACGCACTGTACATCAGTCATTGCCCGTTAGAGCTTTGTCTCTTCTCTATTACCCTTGCAACACCATTCTTTGTAGGTAGGGCTAGGGATGGAACACAGTTTTATGCGTACTTCATATATAAGGAAATTAGAACTGAGTGGGGAATTGAAATAGTTATATAAAGGGAGTGGCAAGATAGGGTTAAAACCCGCATCTGACTTCTTTAGCAAGCAAGTTTCCTCTTTTTCTACTAAGTATTGAGAATCTTAAATTCCTTTGACTAGTCCCTGTAGCCCAAATGAGAACCAAAGTATCTACTTCTTTCCACTGCAAACCGAGTTAGCAGATTAATTACATGTATGTAGTCCTTTTCTTCGTGAACACCATGGCCCTGGTTGCTGTTGATCAATAAATTGCAGCTTTGGAACTAAGTTTGTTAATTATTGATTTTCCACAGTAATTGCCACAGATAAATGCAATCTCAGGCAGTGGCAGTGGTGATGGCTGTCTCCTCCTAGCAGGGCTTTCCTTATATAGGCTGAACTTATTTACCAATAGAAAATAGAGAAGTAATTAAAGTTTCTCTAAGAGCTATAATACATTTGTTCTACAGTCAAATTAAGTCTCCTTATATGAGGCATATATTTATGAAATTGCTATTTGATGGAAGAAAATTATCTTAGACTCAGTCATGTTGATTTTTTTGGTTTTGCTTTTATACATATACCATATTATAAGTACAAAAATAACTGACTGCCATAATCTTATGGTACCATGATACTGATTCTACTGGTGAAAAGGGATATATGAAAGTTATGTTATTCTACTTAGAATGTTTTAGTGGTTTACAAAATACACACCTTTATATATTATAATTCCTGGAACAACAGGGCCTGGTATCACAGAAAGCTGAGTCAAGGGAGTCCCAAGTTCAAGATTGGTCTGGGCTACACAGCAAGTTTAAGACCATCCTAGGCAATTAAGTGAGACTCATCTCAAATAAAACGTAAAGACATGGCTGGGAATAATATGTAGTGGTAGAATACTTACCTAACATGCTTAAGGCCTTAGGTCCAATCTCAGTAAAATAAATATTCAGGAATAGTAGAGATTAGGTTTAGAGTGGTTAGGGAAGACATATTCAGAGAGGTAAAATTTAAGATTATGCTGGGAGAATGTGTAGGATTTAGATTCACAGAAAGGTGATTGTACATATTGAGGAAAAGGGGAAATAGTACAGATAAAGGTGGACTTGAGAATGATGTGCAAAGAAATAGCCATGGGAATTGACATTAGAGGGCAAAGTTGCTAATGCAACTAATTTATATTGCAGTATATCTATGGTAGTAAGTGTAAAATTGCATCTGAATAGATGATTAAATCTGTGTACTTATAATATCATAAGTAATCATCTTGTGATATTACAGAACAAGTGCTCGTCCAAAGTAGTGTTTTTGTCTTTGGAAATAAACTATGCGATTATAGACTTATTTGTAGCTTACAAAGAAGTGATAGCAGTTGAATTCAAAACCAATTACACTAAATGATAGTTTTCCATTTTATGTGAAAATGCATCAAAATTTGTACTTCAGAAATGATTTTCAGAGAGTTGGGGAGGGTTAGGTCCGTAGGGTGCTTGCTGTGCAAGAGTGAGGATGTGGGTGCAGCCCCAGCACCCCGTGAGAATCTGAGTGGGCAGTGTGAGCCTGTGATCTGAGCCCTGGGGAGGTAGAGACAGTGTGAGCCTGTGATCCGAGCCCTGGGGAGGCAGAGACAGTGTGAGCCTGTG